AACAAAAATACACATAAAAAGAACTACTGAAAAACAGTTTTAAAAAATAAATATTGTTTTCGAATAAGTATTATTATACTTAGATTTCGTCAGTATATTTGTTGAAACATATTAAGATCATTACATTCACCAAAAATATTTAATACAGAAATAAACATTTTCTGGAAAGCCCCTACGAAACAATAATTTAGATCAATTTTTGTTTGCATAAAGTATGTAGTTATGGAATAATTCGCAACTTCATAGAAAGTTTAAAACTTCAGTTGAAAATTATAATAATAGTTTTCAATGAAAGGGTAAAATAATATTTGTCATCTGTAGCTACATAAAAAAAAAATATTACAAAAATAAATTATCTTAATTGAATGCTTATTAAAATATTGACTTTTCATATTATTATTAGTTGAAAGGAAATTCTTCTGAAAATGTATTGGACTACAAATGTTAGAAAAGAAAATAATAATAAAAGCATCATCTAATAGTTAGTTTTGGGAATATTAGTTTAATTTTTTTTTAATTGAATATCAAATGAAAGTTTATTTCAAAATAGATTTTGATTAACGTATATAGACAAATTTTTTAGATTGTACAAACGACCTTAAGTCAAAGAAAAAATTTGTTGAGTTAAGCGACCAGCTTAAGCAGCTTTTACTGTAGACACACATACATATGTACATACATATGTATATGTAGGAGTACGTATATACACGTATATGAAAGCATTGTCTTGGCTGCCATGCAGCGCATATTTAAGAGCTGAAAATCACATGTTTAGTTGTACAAGGAAGGATGTGACTTAAGCTGCAGCGACAATAGCAGCAGAAGCGGCAGGAACAGTAAGAGTAACAACAACAATAACAAGAAGAAGAAGAACAGCAATGCGAACTCATTCTAGGCATGCGGCAATAAAAGCTAGCAATGACAACATTTTCAAATTTGTTTGCGGCTCTGCCACGATTTCGACTTTTGCGACTGAGTTTTCGAGCAGCGACAGCTTTTGAGCTCCACTTCCTGCACCCCTCCCCCCACCCCTCTCCGTCCACATCCGTTCTTACATTTGGCTGCCCCCTGCCATTTGGCGTTGTCAACTGAAGTCTTGAATTTTTCATGTGCCGCGGCATCAGCGACATAAACTTTGCCTGCTGTAAATTAAGGCGACGCCTTTATTAGCCAGCTCGCTGCCTATGCTGCTATGCTGCTGCCTCTTGTTGTCCATGTTGGTGTTGTTGTAGTCGCTGCTGATGTTGTTGTTGTTATTGTAGTTGCCGCTGCGGCTTCATTTGGCTTTTACGTAAATGTGCGCTTAGCGTGGCGCTGCATGTAATTGAGGCTGCCTTCTTTATACATATAAGTACACATGTATTTGTATGTGTGGGTGAGTGTACATGTGTGTGTATGTGCGCCTGTTGGCGGCTACTCATGTGGCTTTTAAGTGTATTAATCCTTTTTTATATGCGCGCGTTTTTGGCTGGCGCGCCAAAATGCGCAATGCCAACCGCAGACACACAAAGTAGTAAAAAAAAAACAAAATTAAATATAGGTAGCATCATACATATGTACATGCTTGAGTGTGTGTGTATGTGTGTGTGCGTGTTTGTGTAACTGTGTCTCTCCCTGTATATTTGTGTGTGTGTGTGTTTTTGTGGCTCTTATTGCCCGACTCGACCGCCTTCGCCCGCTCGTCCTTGTTTGGTAATTTCGTTTACTTTAGCAAAATTGCATTAAAGTTGCATAAGTGCACATGGTTTTAATATTTAATTTAGCAAAGAGCTTTCCAAACACACACACATACACACACATGAGCAGTGTATGAGAGATAAAGGGGAGAAGAAGGGGGACACTGGCAACCAAAACTCTTACGCGCTTGGCCAACGCCATTTTCCATTTAGCCGACTGCAGTTCCATGTCCTTTTTCGCTGTCCCTGGCTGGCTTTCCGTTCGTGCGCTTATTTGCTGTCGCTTGATGCTGCCTGCTGCCTCTTGCTTTGCGCCTTTTGTCCTTTCTTGTTGTATGCCGGCGATAGCGCTGACATCCATGCCGCCGCTTAATAATATCCTTTGCCATTTCCGGCGTGGCCAAAAAGCGCAGCGCAAATGTGAAATCGCTTCAAACAAAAGCGAACAGCATCGTGATTTTCGCTAGCTAAGCCAGCCAGCTATCCAGTCAGTCAGTGAAAAAAAAAATAATACGGACAAAATGGTGGATAACAACAGCAACAACAACAGTAGCACGAGCAGCAGCTGCAAACCAAAAAATAAAAAAATGAAAAAAATGCAAAAAAACAAAAACGTGAAGCGGCAAGTGGAATAAAAATTTTCTGTGCTTCAGCCGTAAAAAGGAAGTTGCTGTGAACTAAAAAGCGCGAAAATAAAAACAAAAGTGCTGCAAAAATATTTACAAAGCGTTATCGTGCTGACCCCTTCTGACTCCCCTAGCCCTACCCCTCAGGTCAAACACACTCACACACACACACATTCGCAGAGAGAGTGTCTCCAGCACGTCTGCTTGTTTATTTTTGCCACAGGGCAGTCATAGCAGCAGCAGCACCAGCACCAACAACAACAACAAGAATAGCAATAATGTAGCAAAGGCTAAAAAAAATTGCACTCACTTCTCTAATTTTTGATGCACAGCAGCAAATAGTTAAATAAAAATGCTTAAAGTTGCACTATTTGTTGTTTTTGTTTTTGTTACTGTTGCTATTGCTGTTGCCATTGCCGTTACAGTAACTGTAACTGTTACTGTCATTTCTGTTGCTTTTGGACCACTTCGCGCCTCATCTGCTATTCCATTTCAGTAGTGGAGCAGCAGCAACCAACCAACCGACCAACCATCCAACCACCTATGGGGGCTATTAAATATTTTAAAGCTTGACACGTTAAATCTTGCAAGGCTTTCAACGCTTTTGTTTAAATATGAGCGCGTAGTTGTTAGCTTTAATAACTCAATTAAGTTACCTGATTAACTGACCATGCCGGATGTTAATGCGTCTGATGTACAAGCACTTCTTTACAAGCGAAAGGGGTCCAGATAGCGATACTGAACACAATACTTGTACTCGTACTTAGCCAGACCAAAAGCAATTAATGTGCTTGGCCATTAAGCGGTAATGCAGAAAGCAAAAAGCTAAGTTATAATAAGCTGCTTGGCTCGCTGGTTGGTTGGTTGGTTAACACAAAAGTAAAACTTAATGAAGTTTCATCAGAAATGAGATTACGGAAATGAGAAAAAATATCACAAACAATTTTATAAATTATACAAAAATTACAAGAGGTAATAGCTGCTAAAGAATTTATTTAATTTTAGAATCGCTTGAATTATTATTAAAATATGCACTTAATAGGTTAATATAATTCTTAATTAAAATTATTATTTAATTCATTAAAATTCCAATTTAAGAATTATTAGAAGTATAAATGAAGAATATAATTTTTTGTTGCCTTCCGTCAAAAGCAGAAATATCACTAGAAAATAGAAAATTATTACTTCTGCATGAAAATTCGAAAATAGAGCATTAGATAATCCTTTTTCCACTGTCTATTCGAAGTCAAAGCAATAAACATATGATGCTAATTAACTTAAAATGCAGAGTAATGTTTTTTCTTATTTGGTTATTTTGCAAATGCTTTATAATATTTGCTACAAAATATATATTCTTATATTATTTGTAAAAAAAAGATAATATTATAGCGCATGATTCTTATTCTATTAAGAAATTACAACTGAAATGTTTCTAGTGCTCAGTAAAGTGTGTGTTTGAAGGCGTTCATAAAACCAGATTATTTTGTTAGCTCAGGGCATTTTTTAAATGCCCTTCTACTCCAAAATAACGGAATTACTTTAAATTGTTTCCAGTAGAATTGTGTTCTTGGCATTTGATAGAAGCCGTAAAAGATGAAACATGTCTGTTGGCCATTATTTTTAATATTTTATCTAACAGGGTCTTGGAGTCTAGGAAACAAGAACTGATTATTTAGAAAATTACATATGATTTATGAAGGTAAGCTCCTATGCTAGCATAGGTGTCTCTCTTATAACGCTGCAGCTGCAACAACAAAAACTACAATTGAGGAAGGCAAGCCGACACGCATTTGATTGCGCACCATAGCCTGAAATCGCCTGAAAGTATGCAATATACTAAAGCCAACAGCTGTGTTGGCCACACTTATGCGCTCACATTCACACACACACACACACACACGCGCACATTCTCACATTGTTTGCTTCCCCTCTCCGTTGAGAACTCTCTTTAGCTGCGTAATGTTAAACGTGCAAGTGCAGCAATGACGTCATTCACACACGCACGCCTGCACACCCGCACAACCGCAACTGCAGCCACGCCCGCATGCGGCCAGCAACGGCATCCGTCCCGAGCCGACTCCTTTCCCCAGCTCGTCCCCTCGCCATACCGGTAATTGTGTGCGCTACGCCACGCTTCGGTTGGCAATATTGTTATGACCAAAAACCAGGTCACAAAGGACTTTTTGCTCTGTTGCCACCATTGTTGCTGTACGCTTTTCTTGGCCTCTTCGAGCCACTTACTCCAGCCCCAGTCCCCGGCCTCAGCTACAATCCTAGTCGTAGCCCCAGTCTTTGTCCTGACCATACTCTGGCGCTGACTGCCGCTTGGCATTGGCCAGCTTTCAGCCTGAACGCGCGCATATTTTATTTGATTTATTTATAAAAACGCATAATTTAGTAAATTTAGCAAAAGGCAACGGCAGTCAACGCCACCGTCATCGCCATCGAAATCGCTCCTTCTAAAGTTTTCTTCTGTGCAAATCCTTGAGCTGTCCACGCCCACAACCCTCTCTGGCAGTGGCTCTCCTTTGGCTCGTTTGTTCGTCCTGTCGTTCTATCGTTTGGCCAGCTCAAGATTTTTGCGCTCTCTATCTCGTGCTATTTTGCATTTAATATTTATGCTGCTGTCTTTTTTTGCCTCTTTCCTCTTATTTCTTGCTCTCATTTCATTTTTTTTTTTTCTTCTTACACTTTACAGGCATGCATCGGACTGCTCAACTGCCCAACTGCTCAACTCGTTGCGACGTCCCAACTTGCCTGCCCCAGCAAGGAGACGGGGAACACCAACAACAACAACATCAACAAGAACAGCTCCAACAACAACAACATTTCTTACGCGGCGCCTTCGCTGAATAATTAATGCAGTTTGGTAAGTGAATTTTAAAGAGTTTCCCAGACTTTGCTTTACGAGTATGTGTTGGCCATAACATAGTTGTTCGGTCCCCTCCTGTCAGTGCACAGGAAGTGGAATCACTTAGCCGCCGACATTTATAGGCGAGCGCCTCAACACTCTAAAGCCGTCAGATGGCAGCAACTTCTTCTCTGGCATACGAGTATGAAGTGCCAAAACTATTCGTTCGCGAAGGGCGTCATCATCCATACGTAAATATGTAATTAGTTTGCCTAAGATGGAATTCTTCTGGAATTATCCTGCAAAGAAGAAGAAGACGACAAATATATTATTCCTATAACTTGTACATACATTGTTAGGTAGTCCGCATCATTATGGGTAACTAACAAAAGACAACAAGTTAAACAATTTGAAGCTTTGGCCACTAAGAGGAAAACACGTCAGAAAAACTATTTCAGTTTATCTATAGAATCATTTTTGATAAAAATTAAAACATCATTATCTTAATGTTTTAATTCATACATAAATCGCTCATTACTTTTGCGCGAAAGAAGAGGAGGCCAATATTTTTCCTATAACTGCTATATTGTTTGATAGCCCTCATCTTTTAGTGTAATAAACAAACTAAGAAAAGACAATGGGTGAAAAATTTGAAGCTTTGGCCATTAAGAGCAGAAAAACACTTCAAAATTCGATATCAAAAAATTAAAATATGAAAGTCATTAAGCAATCTTTATTTTAATTTTTTAATTATTTTTTTATTTTAATTTTTCGAAATATTAATATCACGACGATATTAGTAACTCTTCTCTGTAGCTTCACGTCAAGCTTTATGTCCAACTTATTACCTCGTAGCTTAAGTTTTCTGTTATTTGTCCATTAATTTACTTTACTGTCTCTCTAATGAACCGAATCCATTGAATTGATTTTGTTATGTTGAAGTGTGCTTTCTAAATGATTTTGAGACAGTTTAAAACGTGGTCACCAAATGTTAAGTTGGATAACAAAGTTAGTTGAAATGATTCCCAACACTCCTTCTTTTTTTTTTTGCTGTTACAAGCCAACCCTTCTTTGACTTAAAGTGCGAGTAATTTGTAAATGCATTGGACGTAAGCTCAATTGGCAATATTTCAACTCAAAGCCCCAAATAAATTTAGATCTGGGTCACTAAATAATGAGCCATCAGCTTTTAGCTGGCTAAGAAATAGATTCAGATGATTCACAGCTGACTAGTCACGCAAGGTGTTATCTTAGCTTATAAACAAGAATCGAACTGCCCAAATCGGTCGCGCACCAATGGACAGCAGGCAAAGCGGCTGCAAATTCCAGTTAATAGATGGGTAAGCACTGCTGGCTAGCGCCTAAGGGCTATAACTAAAATAAGTGGAACACTTTAAGAGAGAAATTTCCAAAGGGTGTGTAGATCTAAAAAGCTAAAGAGTGAAATTATTTGAGTGCACTATAAATTAAATTTTATGTTAGCTTAGACCACTGTTGCTGCTGCTGGTGTGGGATGGAGCTAGCTAGGAGTATGTGGGCGTGGCACTGTCACACGCTTAGCCATGCAGCTCATGCATAAACCAATATATGTACCTTTTAGTTGATGGGAGGGGGAATGACGATGTAGCACGAGTAGATGGCGTCGTCATGCTGTGAGCAATGCTTACGCCTGATAGTGCCAAAGCACCGGATACGGAAATTGTATGGCAACAGCAACAAAAGTAACTACAACAACTATAAAATGGCCCTGCTGACAGCCAAAGCGCGCGTTCAAACAACTGAAAAAAAAAAGAAACAGAAATGGCGTTAAAAGCACCTTACATATCGCACAATATTGTCCACTATTTTCACACACACACACTCACACACACACACATTTTGTTGTTGTAGGTATGGTCAAGTCATGCAGCGACGTGCACTGGCCCCCTCCCCCCACTTGGCAATTTTTATTTCTTACTCTCCCTCTCTCACTCATTCTCTCTATACGGTTTTTTTTTCAATGCGTCGCGTTTTATGTGATTTTGTTTTTGTTGCTGCCATTATTTTGGGTCACTCGTTGGCAGTTTCCCCCTCTTCAGCACACTCTCTCACTCCTTCTCTCTCTCTCTCTCTCTGTCTCTCTTGCTCCGCCTTTGGTTGGGCTCATTTGCACCAAAGCATGTAAGACAGGCAGTTTGTTTATGTATGCGTTACTTGCTTTATCTTAATGTTGTCTTGATACAATATTTTTATCCTCTTGTCCACCCGCTTCTTCTGGCCTTAGCTTCTTGTTAGACACGCTTTGTTGGTGACACTGCTCTGGCCGTTGTACTGCTTATCCTTATCCACAACGTGTTTCGTTGCCGTCCTTCTGCTCCAGCTCCAGCTCCACCTCCTCCTCGTCCTCGTCCTCATCCTCAACGTTGTCGCTGCCGTCGTCGTCTTTGGCATCGTTTGTTTTGTCATTCAATTCAATGAGGCTAATGTCCGTTGAGTTTTGCACCGCATCTACAGCTTGTTGTTGCTATTTTTGTTGTTGTTATTGTACACTGTCCTATCCTGTCTTGTCCTGTGCTGTGCTGTCCTGCGTTGTTGCCTCTTCTACGTCCATTGCTTCATGCTGTTGTTGAAGTGCCATTAAGTTTAGTTGTCACTTAGCCTCTTTGCTTTTATATGCCAAAGCCGCTGCCGGCTGGCCTGACAGTCTGCTCCGAACCCCCAATCCTGCCCCCCCCCCCTCCCCATCCGATTCATTGGTCGACTGTGTTGTTGTTATCCTTTTGGCTTGAACATCTTAAGCGCCTAATGCCATGCCATAAAAAAGTCCAACTAATGCTTTAAAGTGTGCCGAGTCAAGCAATGTGACTACAAAATAGCGAGCCAACTGTGACGGCAGGACACAGGACATGGGACTCGGGACACGGTGCTCCTTGCTTCTCCTTGACTCCTTTGGCTGTGCCATGGTTTGCCTTTGGGGCATTTTTTCTTCTTATCACTTGCTCTTTATCGATTCTGCGGTTCGACGTTCGTTGTCTTTCGTCTTTCGATGTCTCTTTACTCTGTGTGTTTGTTTGTCTGTCTATCTGCTCTTCCGTCCTTCTGTCCGCCTGTTTGTCTGTCTATCATTTTATTATTTGTTTGATTTTGAGCTTTAAGCCTCAATTTCACACAATCTCGTACTCCTTTTGGCAGTCATTTTTGCGAGTTGCTTTCAAATTGCGTGTTAATTTTCACAGCAGCGTTCAAATGCTTTTTTGTTTGTTGTTAGTGGTAGTTGGTTGTTATTATTATCATTGTTGTTGCTGCTGCTGCTTCTGTGTTTTTCCTATGCTCTGCGGTTTTGCCGCCTCTTGTGTGATTGTGTGCGTCTATGTGTGTGGCTTTAATTTAAATATTTGCATTTTTATTGTTGGGGCAAAAAAAAGCCAAATGGAAAAAAAAGCGCACGTTGCGCCTTCAGTTCATTAGCAGACTGCGGCAGTGTTGCTGCTGCTGCTGTTGCTGCTTTTGTTGTTGTAGTAGTTATCGTCGTTGTTGTTGCTGTTGCCACGACCGCACTTAAACTCATAAAAATAAAAATACAAAAAAAAAGAACACACTCACACACTCACAAAACCGCAAAATCTGCACGGCTTATAGTAAAGCACAAAAGACTACAAATTGTGGTAAAGTTCGAAAACAATGCCAACAACTACAGCAAGAACAACAGCAACAGCAACCTTGTGTGTGGTACAGACCCATGCCACCATTTACACACACTCACAACAATGGCAGCTCGCTGGCGCGTGCTTCGCCTCATGTCTCAAATTGAAGTAACCCATTCAATTAAGTTTGGGGCCAAAAACTTCTGTAACGTGAAATGTGAAAAAAACTGGAACAACATTTTCTACTAAAGGGTGTTTCGTTTTTTTTTTCTCCTCTCTAGCGTTTGTTGTTTGTGTGAGGCAGCAATTTTTCTACTGATAGGCAATGTGTCAACTAAAAATTTGGTTTGTGTGTAGTTTTATTTACCCATTTGGGCTTCAAGTGCGCCCGAAGCAAGTTAAAGTCTATTTCATGTGAATTATGAGAAACATCTGGTAAGAGGCAGTTTTATATTCAACGACAAAGAATAAATACACCAACACTATAAAGAGAGTAATTTATTTTCAACAATTCAAGCACTTTGTTAACCCAGTCGGTTATTGTACACCTAAATAATATTAAACTTCTTACTATCAGCGAGCTCAAATGTACCCAAGCAGGATACTATTATGTTATGAACTAAAAAAGCTCAGTCAATCTTTTAACAATCAAAACATTTTACTTGCTTCCTAATAAACAACTATTTTGTAAAAAGAAAAAAAGAATACCATGAAAAAGAATAACTTAATAATAGGCTCAACTGGAGAGAGTATTGGATGCCTCATTCCCTGTGTTGTGGTTTGCATATTTAATAAATTCATTTACAGAATTAACTGCCCGTTCTTGGGAAGGTGTACCATTCGATTCTTAATTTTATAAAAATGACAAATATTAAGTTTTCTATTGATTGCCAGTTCCAAATGCTTCTTCCATAAGCCCCTCTGCAAGTATCAGTGGCAATATATTTTCGGAATCATAAAAGCAACAGCCTGCTTTTCTCACTAGGACATAAAAACCTTAGTAAAATCTTAGGAAAATTAATTCATATTCAAATTAGTAATTTGTCATTTTGTATTGGTGCTTCAATGGCAATTAAATACCTTTTATATCTTAGCGTCTCATTGGAAAGTTGCCTCAAGCTTTTGGATCTCTAGAGAACTTTCGTATGAGCATTATTAATAAAATGCTTAATTGCCTTACTTTAGTAAAATGGTTTGTATGCCTAAAATAAGAGCACCCTTTAGCTGCGCTTTGTAAATTTCTCTTGTTCTTGTTGTTGTTAGCACTGTAGTTGCTGTTTTTGTTGCCAGCGACAATGAATTTACATTACATTGCATATTTGCCAATCATGTAAACAAGCAGCGTCAAATTTGTTTGCTATGCTAAAATATGCAATGGGCTAAAAAGTTGTCTCC